GTCTTTCGATTGGTTGTTTCTCACAGAAAGTTCACCTTGCATCTCTTTGTGGCTGTGTCAGATCATCATCCATATGCTAACTGTATCCGCCTACGCAAAGTCTGCTGTCCATCTTTGACCTTGTTTTCACATGACTAATATTTGAGACATGAACATTGACGTCAATTACTGTCTACCAATTTGGCTAGCAACCATCTCTCACCACATCCTAATGCCTTCTTTTTCAGTAATATAAATACGACTGTACAGTTGGCTTGAAAATAAAGTCGTTGAAAATATATATGAAAACAAAACGCGTAGTTCAGCGAAGAGTTTCTTTTCGACGAATTCATTTTTTAGCTGTACAATCACAAATATAGATGGTTTATTTTGTATATGTGTGTACATTAAGTTTGTCAAACAAAAGAGATATTTCTTCGCAGTCTATCATAGATATGTTGACTTTCAGTTGATTTGTTAATAAGCTGGTTTCTTAACTTGTGTCACAGTCAAGTGGATATACAAATCTTTGCTAAAGAAATGAATAGCCTTCGCCCAAATACTTAGAATTAATTCTACTACTTTGGCAAACAATATTAAATGGGTACCTGTAAAGCTTTTTAAAAATTTGTCTGCCTACTCATAAGTAGCTTAAACTATAAACGTAATATTTTCCTGATTTCAACTAAGTGAAATTAGAATAAATCTTGTGCACTGAGGAGTATAATTCCTTAATGGGTAAAATTTATTTTGATAAAGTCTCACAGTGTTATACTGTAATATTTACTGATGACGTTTCGATCACAATTTATTGCTCATAATCAGTAAAAATAAATTTTACTAATAAGTTAAAATGTCATTAGGTCACGTTAAACTCGATCATTTTCATAATAACCAATCTTCCAGAAGAAATAGAATATTGACTTACAGGGAGACTAGTGAAAATCAAAACCAAAATCACATAGACTGTAAAGTTCATTCTGTGATGTAGTTGATACTTTAAAAATCCAGGTTTTAAAAAAATAACAATAGCCCTAAGTAATTCGGTGGATGATAACTAACAGTCTAATCCAGGATGCTCATTTCGTCCTATCTGGGACCCGTCATCTGGATGTGCCTGAATATCCCAGTGAGTAATGGCGTTCCCACAACTACCGAAACCCAGTACTCATCGTTCCAAACGCCAAAGCATTATCCACTAAACCACCTGGGCTACGATGACGAAATGCTTTGTTTTATCTGAGGCAGGCTGCAATTATCTACAAGGTTTCTTATCCATTTCTGTCGGAAAATCCATAGCGACAGGCTGAAACAGATGTGAAAATGTGCCTGAGTATACTTTGTGATTCTTACGCATAATGGTATGAGTAAAACAAAGTAAAATGGGGTAAACACAATACCTTTAGGTGGGTAGATTTCGATTTGTACACGAGTTACGTTACTAAATGGAGTTTTCGTCTTATCCAGTATCATCATAAAACTGTTCTGGTAAGCAGGCAAGGAACTTCTAACATGCCTTCCTACACCCTGATAAAATGACAAGTAACACAACATTTTTTACTATTGCTAAGGTCCTTTAGCAGGAAGGAACTCTCTCAGTGAACCAACCAAGCATCTATTGCCAAACAGATATGTAGAGGTATCTGGAGATGGATTAGACATACGCAGAGGAGACTGTTGAATGATATAGCACTCCAGACACACTAGCCCCTTAGTGGAGCCCGATTAGGCAACGACAAGTTTGGCGTTTGAAGTTTATAAGGAGGAGACCATGTGAGGAGGAGGTGAAAACCTGTGAGTAATTATGGGGCCGTCTGAAAGTGATGGCAGAGAATCTAGTGAAATGGCGATGTACTGTTCAAGCTCCATGTTCTGCTCATAACCCAACAGAATAGTGGAATACATTAATATGGTCCATTACAGCTGAGATGCTACATAGCGCACTTGTACTATCCAAAATGTTCACTGTCAAACAATCTGACAAGGTAGTACGCACTTTTCGCATAAGTTTACAATATATTAAGATTAGAAAATAGTCAAACAAATATACGGTATTATTTGACACAACATTCAACTATGAAGACCTGTGTTTGGAATTTAAGCGTCTGTCTTATGGTAACGAGAATATTCTGACGGAGGCAGTCAGTGTTCTCAGACACCATTATCAGTTTACTTTAACACTTATGAAGTTATCAGACTAAATTTAAAAGACTCGATTAACTAATTTCTAAAGTCAGTAGCTAATTTATAAAGTTATGTTGATAAGCTTTATGAACAGGTTGGCATCTCTTTTAAGAAAATAATCTATTCCTAGTTGAATCTTCCAAACATCATAAACATGGTTTCAGGTAATACTTTTCAATGTTTTGCATATGTCCCTCTCTGCCAGTCAGTAACGAATGATAATAGAGACCATACATGTATATTCACACATACTAGTAAGAATTTATTAGCGACTCACTGACCTTGGGTATTATTTTTTGGTTTATGTTAAATATTCTCTTATCAAATAATCCACATAATATCTTTATATGTTAGTGACAGTTTATCGGTGATATTGTTGTCGCTGTTGTTGAAGTGCGATTAGGACAGATTAGCCGGCGCATTAAGTTGGTGTTGGCTCAAAGTCTACTAGGACGTAGTTCTCGTCATAACAATTTTGGCGACGGGTTTCACTCAAGATGTACGCACTGAGTTTAGAAAAACTAATGGAACATCAGCTAAAAACGATGGAAATGCTTGCTAGTCTACACATGTCACGGCCTGCTGATTCATTTACAGCTAACGATAACTTTGGTAGCATCATCTCAGAATTTGTTTATGACCCAGATGCGAACGTGACGTGTGATAACTGGTTTCGCAGATACGAAGACCTATTTCTAGCAGACTTTGCGGACAAAGATGATGCCTGGAAAGTACTACTCCTACTTCGTAAATTGGGAGCAGATGAACTAGATAAATATTGCAACTGGATTCTCCCACGAAAGCCCAGCGATCAATCATTCAATGAAACTGTCCAGAACTTTCGAAATCAGTTTGGTGACCACAGATCTTTATTTAGCATTCGATATCATTGCATAAAATTGGTTTTGGACGAAAACGATGATATCTGTACTCAGTTGGGTATAGTCAATCGCATGTTTGAACGTTTTAAATTGAAATCGCTGATAGAAGACCAGTTCAAAGTGTTGATTTTCATTTGTGGTTTGCACCTCCTCATCCTCACCAAAAGTCACCGCATTGTCCGCAGCATACTCGGTCTTCAGTATGCTGGCATTGTGACGTTTGATACTACGTAAGATTATGCCTCTACAAACACAATAAATGTAGAAGATACCACACCACTGGTCACAGAGATGTATATTGTAATTAGATTGTTCTGTCAAAGTCCAGAAACCAATCCCATCGACAACCGATGCCAAAATCCGTGAGCATCACAGCTACCTACAACATCATCACTTCCGTTCCACGTAAATATGCAGATAGACATGGCATACGACATTACGATAGTATCGAATAGGTTATGGAGAGAATCGGGATTCCCCACTTTGTAGAAGACTGACCAAATAGCAGTCAGTGCATGTGGTGGAAAACTTCCTTTGACAGGGCTGTTAAAATGAAAAATAGGGTCCCGCGAGATCTAATTTATCGATATTTACATTAAAAATGATGCAAACCTGGATTTATTGGGTTTGGATTGGTTTGAAAGCCTACGGCTTTTGGAATTCCCCATCAACATTATATGCGACAGAGTTGAAGCTAGAGATTTTTCGAGTTCCCTCCAGGTATTCAAGACGTGGTTCCAGCCAAAATCGAGACGTAACAAAACCACGAAAGTGGTCCTACGACCTAACGTCATAAGTGCACCCCAAATAGCTACTAAAAAGGCACCAAAGCCTCAGAAACCGGCACTTTCAAAGTCGTCTTCAGAAGTAGCACCACTGCCGAAACTATTCAGCTCAAAGACACCTGCAGCAACACCAACAGTCCCTGATGCTTCTTTATCCGAACACACAGCTAAGATTCTATAACCTCCAAATCATCGGAATTGTGCTATGGCTTATTTCCAGTAGGGTGATCTTGTCTATGCTCGAGATTATTGCCCATGAAGAGAGAAATGGACAGAAAGCCAAATAAAACGTTAACTTGGAGCTGTTTTGTTCGAGGTTACAGTGGGTCATGAAACTTGGATGAGATATAGAAACCAATTGCGACTGCGCCACAGGACGTCATCAAAACCTGAGATACCCATAGATCTCTAACTGCATACATTTAAACTACTTCCAGTGGATACTAAGGCACCAAACAAAAAAGAATCTCAGACTAGAAGGCAATCCAGTCTCAAGTGATCCACTACAGTACGTTTCCCAAAGAAGAAGAGGTATTAATTTTATTGTACTTATTCGTGTCTTTTTTTGACACTGGAGGTGATATATAGGCCTAATTGTCTACATGTCATTTTTTCATGTCTCCTTGTATTACTCTCACCCCACTTATTGATTTATGACCTAATTTCCTCTCAACCCACTTATGACCTTTGAAATCCTATTAGCTGTCCAATGTCTTAATTTATCAATGACATTTGTGCTTCTCAAGGTCATTTTAGACACATATATAGAAGGGCTGTCAACTTTTTTGACTGTTGTTTTGAGATAGTCTTCTCTCCTGTCTATATGTGGCCTAGCGGTATTACTGTTGCTGTCGGCGTTCAATTGGGCCAGATTAAGTTAGTATTGGCTCATAGTCTATTAGGTCATAGTTCCGGTCATAACAATCAGCTGTCATAAGAAAGAGCTTTTGTGACATATGTTTTGATGAATGCTTATTCTGTATTCTCATGTCAGTTCACTGACAGTTTGTGTGGGTGTAATCCAGTAGTGATCACTCAGCGATACCATCAATCAGTCCAAACGATAGGTGAGTTAGTGTCGAGTTAGTATCACTTTAGTTATATTGATCGAATGAACAGTTAGGGGAATCATAACAGTACAATTAAGTTCATCAGTATCATAAAAATAAGATTATTTACTGGTAAATTTTTTATTTTTTAGTTGATATCTATAAAAAGATTATTGAAAGCAAATCACAGTTATAAAGGATCAGAATAGTTTTTATTACACATTTGCTTCTTTATGTAATAGTCTCCACTTTCTGTTTTGTTTTAATTTACATATGAATGGTATCGCTGAATGTTGAATTAACCAGATTTAAAAAGTTGTATAGCCACCTTATCGATAAATAGATAGATGAAACATCCTGCTTCGTGTGTAACATAACTAAATAAATGAAGAAGGAAATAATAAAATAATAAAATAATTTAATTTTATTATACTGAAACAAAAATGAATATTTATCATAAAACCATACAGATATCTTTTATTAAACAGTGATGTTTGAATAGCCTGTAATATGATGCTTGAAAATTTTTTCAATCTTAAAAGGTATAACGGGCTAATTCAGTTCAACTAACGGTTATGCATAGCGGTTAGGACGCTCACCGACCATGCACATGGTCCGGGGTTCGATCCCCGGCCACCGACGCACTCCTTTACCTCGATAAGCCAGAAATAATGCTGGTGAAGAGGAAAGGTTGGGCATGAGGCTAGCAACCCCATCCTGTAAAATAAACACTGCTACAGAAACTTCAAGCCACTAGTTTGAAGCCCTATGTTCCACTGGGAAACGTGAAGGAAAAAAAAGGTTATGCATCCAGTTTGATTAGTGACTGTTTTGTTTAAAGCGATTTGATCTAAACGTTTTTGAGGTGCATTCATATCGCCACAAATGTCACTGATTCAAAGGTAAAATGTTTGCCAAACATGGAGGAGATCCGCATTTGATTACTTGTAGACGTATTCCTTAAGCATCACGTAGTTTCCTAGCCGTAACAAGGCCCCGAAAAGAGGGAATACTGCGTGTAACGCTGGCAACCTCATCCCCACTGCCAAAACTTCAACGCTTCAAACCCCGTGTTCTACTTGGGACTCAAGGAATGAAGGACAGAAATCTATTAGATACATATTTATTCTTTTTCCGTGGTGGCTGGATAAATACAGACGTAACTGTTATTTACCTTATTAAATGATGTAAGAATGGTTTCATTTAAGACATCACTGTGGAAATAATTGATTGAGTCACCCTAGTGTGCTTGGAGAGCCAACAATCCTTTTACACTGGCTGATGGTCAAATCATTTAGGCATCTCATTACCGTGTTGAACGCTTTTTGTAATATCAGAAATACACACATCAAAATGTGATCACAGTTACAATATGAGAATTTATGGTAAAAATTTAAAAAACTAATTGGAAGACCGAAAACAACTTTTGGTGAATTTAAACAAAGTAATACGAATTTACAAGTATTGGTCTTGTGGGGATTTCGTTTGATCGGTTGGAGGATTTCATAATGAGTTGACACCACTTAGAGAATCATTGAAAACCAACACCAGATTACTGGACATCTACTTCGTCCTAGTTTGAGACTCTTCATCAGTGCACACCCACCGGGGTTCGAGCCCGGGACCTTCCGGTTACAAGGCGAGCTTGTATACCAATCAGACACTGGGACCCCACTCAAGGGCCAGTCCATGAATTCTAACTTCTACCAATTCGTGGTTGTTAGCGCGACCACCAGCCAATGTCATCGGTGAGAAATCCATCCTCACACTTGATTGGCTGGACCACCGGTGACACTGGTTGGTGGTCGCGATAACAACCACGAATTGGTAGAAGTTAGAATTCATGGACTGGCCCTTGAGTGGGGTCACAGTGTCTGACTGGTATACGAGTTTGCCTTGTAACCGGAAGGTCCCGGGCTCGAACCCCGGTGGGTGTGCACTGATGAAGAGTCCCAAATTAGGACGAAATAGCTATCCAGAACTATGATGCTTGTTTTCAATGATTCTCTAACTGATGTTAGCTCATGATGAAATCCTCCAACCAATCAAACAAAATCCCTACAAAACCAATACTTGCATATAGCAAAGTGTTATCTCGTAGGCTGCTGAGTCATCATTGCTATTTCTTGTGTAAACTGTCTAATTAGATACTACTCAAATATCTTGTGACCAACTGTTGATATTTCTGGAACACATTACTTCTCTTCACTGTGGAATGTCAGTATGTGGCTGATCAATGTGGCACAAAACCATCAAAAGAAAAACTCAAAAATAAATCAGTCATATCTAATTCTAGTTAAGTTAATCAAAGCCACATGAAGGTATTTATTCATATAACAATTGACTACTGAGTAACAAATAATATTCCGTTAGTCTACTGTTAAATACTAACTGAATTGTGATCAGTGTATCAGTTAGGATAAGTGATTTGCATGGATCGATAAGAAGTCCATGGTCTACACTGATAACAACTAAGAAAGTGGTGAATTATTGATATAAGTATAAAACTTGGGCACTGTGGTAGAGCATAACTCCATTATGGATAAGATTTTATTTTGATAAATCACACAGTGTTGGTATACAGTAATATTAACTGATGACGGTTCGAGCATAAACTACTGCTCATAATCATATCAATATCGATATCGATGTGATTATGAGCAATAGTTTGTGCTCGAAACGTCATCAGTTAATATAACTGTACAACACTGTGTGATTTATCAAAATAAAATCTTATCCATAATGGAAAAAGTGGTGAATTAACAGATTAGTACAGAAATAGATTAGAATTATATTGACCACTAATCATCTAAGGTTTACTTATGACTCTGAGATGTTTTCTTGTTTGTTATAAAGTAGTATAAGATTCAAGTTATTTTATTTTGAATAAGGCAATAAGAAGATAAATTTCGCCAGATGATATCATTTCGTAGTTTCTTTACAACCGCTTTACAACTAACATGGTTAACAATAATAAAATAAAATAAAGTTCATGACAATTACACAGTTAAATAAAAAACAAAAGTACATACTAATGACTAATCATATTTAGATAATTTATAATATAGGACGAAATTCTATGGACTCTACTTCAAACTGTATCTACAAGTTCACCTGCAGTTGCGGTGACACCTATAAAAGTAGAACCAACAGAATGTTCCAATGTCGTCGAAAAGAACATGTTCCAAAATGGCTACGAAATCATATAGAAAATCACAATGTGAGTAAACTGAATAGAAATCCAACATCATCCATTGCAAAACACTTATTAATGCCAGGTCACAAAATCAATATTAATGACTGTTCCACAATTAATTCACATTACTATAATTCAAGGTTATTGAAGGTGATGGAAGCACTTTGGATTAATCACATACAGTCTAAACTGTGTGTACAAAAAACAATAGACTTCAATCTTCGCCTACCATGGACAACATGACCTATCTAAATATGATTGGTCATTAGTATGTACTTTTGTTTTTTTATATATAACTGAGTAATTGCCATGAACTTTATTTTACTATTGTTGACCATGTTAGTTGTAAAGCGGTTGTAAAGAAACTACGAAATGATATCATCTCGCGAAATTTGTCTTCTTAATACCTTATTCAAATTTATCAAAGGGACTAATTGTTTTTTTAATTTTGACTACTGCGCAGCAGGTGGCTCTATCCTCCTTTATAGCTGTGAGATACTGAAAATGTAAGTTATGAAAAAGACTCGCTTTCTTTAACCATAGATGTTTGTATTGTATCTCCCATGTTAACATGGTATAATATGGTGAACCATATTAAGGCTAGGTATAGTGTGTTAAGTAAGTACAGTCAATCAATCAATAAAGTTGTAAGGCTGCATCGAATGAGACGGTTAGGGCATGTGTTGCGCATGCTAAGCCACTGCCTTTCTCGACGAGCAATGTTAGCTGACATAGAATTAGGTTGGAAAGGAGTTAGACGGGGGGGGGAATCAAACCAAAACCCGTTGTCAGTTCATGAAGTATTTGATAGTTGGATTGAGCCATGTGGGGAGGTGTAGTCAGTCTAGTTGGGGTCCTTAGGATGCTAATGACCACTAATTGGAGACTACTGGAGATATGGTTCAATATAGTTCTCAATCATGTTTTCCATGTTACTATTCTTTTCTCCGTACATTTCTGTTCATAATAGCTCTTCTGAATTTCTTTCTTCTCTCTTTTGTCTATATTTGTGTGCTATATGGAGCCTCGTAACTTGAATTGCTACACTTCTATGTGAAGTTCTATGTTGAAATTCAGTTACTCCGTCCATCATTCTATTTTGAAAAATTTTCCAGTCTGTGGGATGATCATGCTGTGACTTTTGACTGGCAATCATCGTCTTCAATAGCAATACAAACTAAAGAATACCGTATTGGCACATTACGTTAATTTAAACTAATCTTAAGTGTACAGGATTCAATATAAACCACAATTTTTGTAAAAACAAACAAATAAACAAAGAAAATGTTAAAACTGCCTACCTACCTTCCAAAGTTTTTTCCAACAATACAATGCCAGGATGGTTTATATAATCGATCACATTCTTTTTTAATATAAGAAGCAACATCTTTTTCCACTGAAAACTTTTCAACAGCTTCAATACATATATGGATGATATTTTCTTTCAAATCCTCGGACATATCAGCATTTTTCACCAAAGATGTTTTGCTTGTCATCATTATTCAAGTGTATTCTGAGTTTTGTGTGTCGTTTTTTATTCATTGTCGTTAGTAAATAGTAGGTGTTTATATATTAGACTATAATTAACCTAGACCTTTTTAGTAGCTTAGCTTCTTAGAATTTAACAAGGAAAGAAGAAAAAACAAGCTAATTAAAAAAAAAATGCTTCTAAGAGAGAGAAAAAATGCTAAAGTTCATTATAACTATGCGATTTAGTTGATATGCAGTTAGAAAAACTGTAAATAATACTAATACTAATATTAATAAACACTGGCAGTGAATACATTCACTCTTTTATTAAACTAATAAGTTGTTTTGTATTTTATGAAGATGTTGGTTTAGGTTATTATTATTATTGTTGTAAAACGTGATGATATGGAGTCATTATTTCACCATTATTGTGCACTTACCTAACTTGAAGTAATAATAATAATAACAAAGAAAGAAAAAATTCAAGACGATATTTACCTTCAATGGAATTAAAAATACCATTTCTACATTATAGTCATTGTATAAAATATGCGATATACAGTACTGGTAGAAAATTTAATAAGAAAATATCAAGAAAAGACAGTTCAGTCAGTCATCTTATCATTAATATTTAGATTTATTAACTTATTCAATAATTAATGCATTTAATTTTTTAGGCTTTCAAATAATGAAAGAAAAAAATAGGTACGTTGGCGGCCTGCTTAAAACTTGGGCTGCCAAAAACTTCCATCGCTCTCAATTGTACATATTTTCTCTCGTGCGGTTTGTTTTAATCGATTAAGATATGACCTTTGTTGGTATCATCTACTCTTGTGTGTATTTAAAATGTTTGCAAGTGCCTGATTCGTAAGTTCCTACTAAACTTGAGGAATTGCCTGATTGTGGGTGGTAACGTGCTTCACGACATGACATAAATGTTCTTCAGTTCCTTGGGTCTCAAAATGCACTTCTGAACATCTTAAAATCGGCTTCTAACCAGATATCGTGGATTTCTTGAAAGAGAGAAAGCAGATATATCATAATACAACGGTTTGTGCTTCTACTTAGAGAGCATCGTGTCACAGGATATACTGTCAATTACTATTTTACTTGAAGGTGTTCTACGAAGGGAAAATATCATGCGATAAACTCCTCTGAAAATTCTATACATTTTATAAATACTGTCAAGAATAAAGATGTTTAATTATTAGAAATTATTTTAAAAAGATTGTCAATTCCTTGTAGATCAATTACTAATTGACCGGAAGACTTGGTTTTTTTGATATTTCTGCTTCGGATACCACTGCTAACCAAATAATCCTGTGCTTACTTCATAGCGTCGTATTTCGGTCCACCATAGATAATAAACGCGAAATTTAAAATAATTTCAACAGGCAACAACTGATACTAGATTTCAAAAGTTGTAGTTCACATGACTCAATAGTCTAGTGAATCACTCTACGGTTTTTGAAATAATACTTAGTGAATTCAAGTCTCACTGGGAATACGATCAATCGCTGCGGGGAGAGGGTGGAGGTGTACCCAAGATGAAACACACGTCCTGGATTCTGCTGTTAGATAAATCATACGTCTGAAAATAGTATTTACTGTTATTTATATGATGCCTAAGTTATTGGTGTTTGTTATGGTCACTGATATAATAGTATTGTTGATTTGTGGCTTCAGCACTGACGTAAGAATTGGTAATTCGGCTGAAGACCGAATACCAGTTACTTCAACTCTTCTGCAGAAGATGAATTTTTTTAAACGGGTGAGAATACCCCACTTCATTGGACAAAAATACACCACATATATTTATTACAAATACTTGGAAGGTTAAAGTCAATAAATAAGTAATTTAAATGGTTGAATAACATCAGAAATCAAAGGTTGTTCAATCGAACTGAGGCCAAAACTCAGTTGCTTTATTTGGCTTGAGCCAGTTTTAGCCTCTTCTAGCTGGTTTTAACAGCTTCCGATCAATATTATGAGACCTAACAAACAAAGAACCTAGAAGACCTGGATTTCGCGCGTGGATGATTTATGTTTGATGTCACACAAAATCGAAGACTTACAAGCGAAAACCGACAAACTGGTCGAAGAAGCAGCAAAAACAGGACTCCAGGTGAACATAGACAAGACGGAGGTTATGAAAATAACCAACCAACAGCAACAACAACAGCAGCAAAATCCAGCGCCAATCACCATCAACGGGAGGGATTTGAAACAGGTTACTTCTTTCACTTCACTTATCTAGGCAGCATTGTCTCAACTGCAGGAGGAACGGACGAGGATGTCAAATCGAAAATCGGAAAGGCGATAAACACATTCATCAACCTGAAACCAATCTGGAAATCTTCGTCACTCAGCATCAACAACAAAATTCGGGTTTTCAATACAAACGTTGTCAGTTCTTCTATACGGATCAGAAACTTGGCGGGTCACCAAGAATATTTTCAACAGGTTGCAGACCTTTATCAACAACTGTCTTCGCTCTATACTGAAGATGAGATGGCCGGCCGGGAAGAATCACCAACAAGAAACTATGGGAACAAACAAAACAAGAAGCAATCGCTCAACAAATATGCAGGAGAAAGTGGAGATGGATTGGACACTCGCTGAGGAGGCCGCTGGGTGACATCGCGCGTCAGGCCATAGCTCGAGTGGAACCCGAAAGGGAAGTGGCGAGTGGGACGTCCAAGGGTGACATGGAGGAGATCGTGTGAAGAGGAGTTGAAACAGTATGGATTAACATGGATGCAGGTGAAAAGTACAGCAGAAGACAGCAGCAAGTGGAGACGTGCAGTTGAAGCCTTATGGTCCACTAGGAACCCAAGGGAACAATAATAATAATAATAATAACAAAATATCTTCAAGATAAGATTATTAGCAATAAATTTTGCTCAAAGTATCATCAGTAAACAGTGCTGTATCAGTGGGTTATTTTTACTATTCTATTATAGAATTATACTCTACTACAGTGCCTAAATTCTTTCCTCATATCAACGAAATATTCTTAAGCTTATAAAATTTGTGGGGTACTGGACAATAAATCTGTACAATTTTTGTCAAATGTTACGAAGGCACACTGTGCATAACTTTTGTTTAATCGATTTCTTTGTTAAATATATGTATAACTTTGGCGTTAGATTGAAAATATAGTCGTGCTGTCCATCACTTCATCCTCCCACTGGTTCACACTGTTAACTTGTTATGCTAATACCTGTGTTTTGTTCTGTGGAACTTGCAGGGACGTCCCATACTCGTCCGAAGACTATTCAACAACTGGTAAGCGACTTCTACCAGTGGATACGACCTCAGCAGTGAAACGGGTCTGTGGATTATATTATTAATTTATAGTAGTGAACTACTGCTGTATTTTCAAGTAACCACTGACTTGTATAACTCATTATCTGTATGCCTGTAATATACTGACTCAATATTCTTGCATTAATTTGGATTTTTATTCTGATATTTTGTACCGTTATCGAGCTCATTGTAAGGCTCCCTTACACATGTACCGATAACTGGTATCATTAGTTTTACTCGTAATTTAGTGTCACTCAAATAGTGTTGCAAAAACTAAAAGATTTCACCTTTGTTGTACAATAGTAACAGTCAAGAGATAACTTGGAGTGATAACAAATTACCAGGATTGGGAAAAAGTTCAAGTTAACGAATCAGATGAACATTCGCTTACCAGGTAACAACAATAAATATGATAAATGTTTTGAAGAAAGATAAGTAACGCATTTATTGAATGCCAAAAACACTTCCTAGTAAATAATTAGATTACTAACTTCCTGTGGTAATGAAGTGCGTCGGTGGCACAGCGTTAGAATGCTCGCTAACAAGGGAGGTGGTGCAGGGTTCGATCCCCGGTCGACGCAATCCTTCACCTCACTAAGCCAATAATCAGACTGATAAAGAGAGAAGGTTGGGCATGAGGCTAACAACCTCATTCCGTAAAAATAATCACCACTGCTACTAATTCTTCAAGCCTCCAACCTGAAACCCTATGTTCCACTGGGAACTTAAAGGAATGAGAAAAAATTTGAATAAATAACTATTAATACAGAATGTCTACTTGGCACAGTTTTGTCGTGATACATTAAAAACTATACATTAAACTGTTCGCCTTTATTATCATCTTTCAGAATTTACGCCATTTTTTTATTTACTTAATGTTTAGACTGATTCTTCCCTGTTAGTCTCATTTAAATTTGCTTGACTTCAAAGCATTACCTAAAATCGTCTACATATAGATGGGTCACCAACATGTAAAGTAGTTAGGTTTCACTAAAATGTAACAACACTGATGTTTGTTTCAAATAATATTTAAATAATTCACAAACATAATGATTTACAAGCAATTGAGTTTATTATTAATGACGAATGGTCTTCTGTACTTGTAGTGTAGGTTTAATCTGGAAAAAGTGTTTTAAACCAAGTCTTAGCGATAACACTTAACCATAACCCCAAATCCTGTTTTGTAACTTTAGCTCCTGAACCTAAACGACAGTCATTTAGATTAATACAGACACTTATTCTTACGACAATCTGAAGTAAGGCATCTGTTTTATAATCTTGAATTTCTTTAGACGTTTTTTCGTAAGTATACTATACTATTTTCTTTCTTGACCTAAATCAGCCTGGCTCATTGTGATTGGCCACTTCAAGGTTGATAAGTCAGTCGTCGGTTGGCCAATTCATTCAGATATACCAACACAAACCACAGGCATAAATAAACAATATCAGATCATACTTGTCACACATGAGGTGGCTTAATTGGCTAAGTAGCCTGTTAGTCATTAGAAGCAGTGATTACTGGGTTCTAATCACAGAGGGATTACCATCACTCACTGGAGATACATCTAGCTGCCACGTCCCAAATAAAATGGAGCTAAAGACAGTGAAAAGTCTTCGCACTTTTAACGGCTTGGTGAGTTATTACCGACGATTTATTCCTAACTGTGTTTCTCTGATTCAGCCATTAACAGACCTCCTTCGAGGGAATAACAAGTCTATCAAACTCGACGCGTCTTCTCGACATGCTTCTACTCAGGTAAAGAAAGCTATTGCTGATGCCACCCTTCTTATGTATCAGGATCCAACGGCACCGTTAAGTATCTCAGTTGATGCATCAGACACTGCAATCGGTGTAGTTCTGCAACAACTAGTTAACAAAGA